AAGAACATTATGTCCGTATAAAAACTTATACACAAACGTGTACATAACACCAGTGGCTATCACTGAATAAACGGACTAATAAAATGTGGTACATTCATACGATGGAATGTTATTCAGCCATAAAAAAGGATCAAGTACTGACACACATCAAGTACTGACACATGAACTTAGAACAAATTATGCCAACGGAAGGCTAAACACTCTATGATTTTATTTACATAAGATGCTCAGAACAAGCAAATCCAGAGACAGAGTCTACTTTCTGTTGCCAGGAACTGGAGAAAGCGGTATGAGAGGGGACTTGCTAATGGGTTGGGTATTCTTTTACTGGGAGATAAAAATGTTCTAGAACTACACAGCGATGGTGTTTGCGAAACTGTAAATGTAAAAATTATGTACCAGTACAGTTTAAAAGGTGAATTTGTGACATCTAAACTATACAGCTTGGTTTTTAAAACACTGATCAAGGTCATGTTTGCCATCAACAGGTAGGTTGGATTGAAATTAAATTTTAAGAAAATTATGACTATATAGTAATGAGAGTGTTTTCTTAGCATGACTTAAAGTCTAACTAAAATCCCAAAGCAGGGCCGGGGATTTAGCTCAGTGGCATAAGCTCAGTGGCAAGTGCAAGGTCATGTGTTCAATCCCTGTACAAAAAAAACAAAAACAAAACAAAATCCAAAGGGGACTTTTTGAAAGGCCAAAATTAATGTGTGCACACTTTTCACATAAAAGTGGCTACTTTCATTTCCTAAATAAAACTTAGATCAACTTATTGTTCACATAATCTTTATACCTTTAAGTTTTTGAGGCTGGCAAGATTTATCAAACACAAAAGAGTTCAAAATCCAGGTCACAATCAAAAACCATACCCAAAGGCTAGAATACGAAGTCCCAAGTCAAACCAAGCTTAAACAAATATCCCAGTTTTTGAAGAATTGTTTTTTAAAAGATTTTTTTAAAAGTTGTAGTTCTGCAATACACAAATCCAACTTGAAAACAGTATTTTAACAATATTCAGAGGCCAAAATTTATATGGCATAAATATTGCTGCCGTTTAAAATTAAGCGGTTTCTTTAAAAAGAGTGGTTTCTATAAACTGTGGTGTACTATGCAGAGGAGTTTTTGTCACATTTCAGTTATGAGTCAGAGTGAATTAAAAGTTACACACACTCCTAATTGGAAAAAGCATTAGAAAGACAAACAGTACCAGGAGACAGACTGGTTCAGAATTCACTTATCTTATCAAGAAACCTTGACCAGTGGTATACGGAAAGAGAGCTGGATGGAGAAAATAGGCGGGGCCCCGTGGAGTAACTCTAAAATCATTTAGGGTTTCTGCAGGCCTCGTTTTCCCATCAGCAACAAGAATGAACTGGATTCCAAAGTTTCTAAGTCTTAACAATTCTCAGCAGTCTTTGATTCTATTGTTAAATAGCTTAGGGCTGCAGGATGCCTAGTGAGTAGCTGGGCAGTTCTCACATCTATGTACCTAGGAAGCTATATAGAGAGAAAGAGGACTGGAGATTAGCCCCGGGGAAGTAGGAACAACATGGCTCTTGTGGGTACTGATTTACTCCTGTTGGACTTAATTAAGATACAGCAGCTTTGCCAAATTTCCAGGGGATAGGAGTGGTTCCTACACATCACCACACCCACCATAGTTAGTTTTTCCTAAAAGAAATTCAGTGGGGATTACAAAAATGTTGTAAAGTACCAAGTACTTTTAGTCACTGCATGACTAATATAGGACAGATCAATTCTAAATTAAAGAAACAAAACAGCATTTTCCTTGTCACACAGAAGAAATACACAGCTTTCATCCCTAACAGTTAAGGAGTCCCAAATGACCACAGTGAACAATCCAACTTGCACAGATACTTAGCAATAAATATGTTGTCAATCCAAAGAAAAACATTACCTATACAACTAGAAGATTCAAAAGCACGTACGTTTAACATAATTATTCAACACTGCCTCTTTAAAATTCTTTTGGTATTGCAGACTGAACCTGGGGTCTTAATTCTGAGTTACATCCCAGATATTTGTTTATTCTGAGACAGGGTCTAGATAAATTGCATAGGCTGGGCTGAAACTTGCGTAATTCTCTCAGCCTCCAGGGTACTGGATTATAGGCATGTGCCACCATGCCCAGCTCAAAAGAGCCTTTCAATGCAATGCAGGTTATAATCCCAACTTCTAGAACTGAAAGCAGTTGTAAATACTCACTTGAGATTTATCAATTTTCACAGCAAGAGATAATCAGATCAATGTGTGATGGGGTAATGATGGTAAAATTAAAGTCACCATCACATGAACTGGATTAGGAAGTTATTTCAGGTGACTCCCAAGACGGCTTTCTGGAAGAGCTCCTCCACAACAGGACAGTCCTGGAGAACCTGTCCCTCACTGTCCCCATCCCTGCCATGTGCACATGTGTGCGTGGGATCTTTGTCAAGTCTGGCTGACCATCACTCCTTGGTCACACAAGCAACATGTGTCTGCTTTTGCTGATGGCACTCCTTTAGGAAAGGTACAGAGCTGGAAATCTCAACATGAAATGTATGCATGGACCTGTAGGTAGGTGGCACATAGGCGAACTACATGTAGTCAGTGAAGCCCCAGAAAGTATCTGTGAACTTCTGTCTCTGTGCACGTTTCTGGGAAAGTGAGCCTCTGGGTAACCAGAAGATGCAAACCAAGGTATCTTGAGCCACTGTACAGTTTAGTTAGATATAAAACAGAAGAAGCCTATGGAGTGTCATGTAAATGAGAGGAAGAAACACGTGTTATCAGAGTTGCTATCTTTTAAAGCAGAAGGAAAAATATGATTTGATCCTACAGTCAGAAGCTGTACTCGTATAAAGGTCAAGTGATCCTCTCCCTTCCTCCTATTCTAGATAAGGAACACAAGACTCATGGTAAGCACCAACCAAAAATCACAAATCTCAGAGCTACTACTAAGTGGCAAAGCTGAACTTCAAACTAGGCTTGGTTTCTGCCAGAATACCAGAGCATGAAACCATGTTTATAATTCATAGATTCTGGTTCTGGCCATAATTTTTCCCATATTACTTAATGCCACTCCACTATGAAGGTAGCATTTTAAAATTTTAAAATCAAGTTTTGGCATAGGAATTTGATACATTTAAACTTCCTAACTATCTGAATTCACAGATAGCTCCAGACTATATATACTGCTTTCTCCAGTACATATATACCTATTAGAAAGCTACTCAGAATGTCATGCAATTTTTAAAACTTATTAACTATTTCTAGAATCTTTCCCTATCACATTTTTGGATCTCATTTAGGACCATGCAAAATTTAACTCTTGTGAGGCAGACAGGACTCTATTCCAAAATCATTAATGAAATCACAGCTCTTTCACAAAAACCTATTTTATACGCAGATTTACAGAAAAGTTTAGTGGCTCATGACCCTCTATCCTGCTGTATGATGACTCCAACTGTAGATATTTTTTTTAGTAGTGGTTGTGCCAAGTATCAAACAGAGGTCCTTACACGTTAGGCAAGCACGCTAACCACTGAACTACACTCCCACACTAGTACTTTAAAAGCAAAACAGGTCACAAGCTTATTGAGTAAAGTATTTCTATATGTGGCATAAAAAGTTACTGACAGTCTCTCAAAAGAGATAAATCTCTCAGGCTGTCTTCACAGTGGTTCCTATAATCTGAACTTGTAAACTCCCTGATGCTCTAAGGAGTCTCTCAAAATATTGACACTATTAATGTCAATAGTGTTGTCTAAATATTAAATCATTTTTTTAAACCTATGTAATGAGGTTATTGTAAAACTGAGAACAACCTTCTATAGCTTCATGTAGTAAAACCAAAGCTAGTAGGCAGTTATTCTGAGATCAGATTAAAAAATAATTACTGTCATAAAAAAACTTACAGAACCATTTGTTCCAATGCCAAACTTTACCTTGCCATGTAACAACCTGAAATAACCAAAAACCAGATCTCACCAGAGGAAACAAAAGAGACATTAGAAGCTAAATTCAATGACAGCGTGTCCTTCAACTTCAAAGGAAGTGCTTTATTTACCAAAGGAGCGTTAATGGCAAACAATTCTGTGGCATACATAGAACCTCCAAAGATGTGCCTTCCCGGGAAGTTTCGCATTGCTTGTGAACTCCAGCCCTTTCAGAACGCTGACTTCCTTCTCCCACTCCTCAAAGGTGCAACTAAAACAGGCCTTGGGAGCACGTGTGGCCTGGACCAATTCTCAAAGCCTTCTTGGCAGCAACCTGCAGGCTCGACTATTCTATTTTGGGTCAAGGGGACTGTCTGCCGCCCCAAGTGACCTCAAGTGGTCAAGATCATTTTGGGAGAAAGCACTGCTCCATATATATATATATATATATATATATATATATTTTTTTTTTTTTTTTTTTTTTTTTTTTGCACCAGGCCATTAAGCCCCTACTTCGAAGAGTCCGAAAATGCTGAAGATGCGGTCACGATAGAGGCGGCGAAAAGAATGCGGCTGGGCTGTCTCGGGGTGAAGGGCTCGGAAGAGTCTGGTCTGTTTGGGGTCCCGCTGCAGGTGCCAGGCCGCGGCGTCAGGAGCACGCAAGGAAACAGGGATCCCCGGGGGAGCCAGAGAAAAGAGGGAGGGAACCAACGGGAGGTTAGGAACCTGCAGGTGTCTCCCAGAGAGGACAGGTCGCCCGAGGCTGACAAAGCCAAATGAGTAATAAGAGTGCGGCTTTGGATGGGGACAGCCTGGTCACATTCTCAGGCAATGACCTTGAGCACGTGGCTCCACGGCTCTGCGCCTCAGTTTCCTCCTCTCTAATCTAGGGAAGGAGGGTTTGTTCGGAAGGGGAAAACGCGCCTCGGAGCGCTTGGCGCGGCGCCGGGATGCCAGCGCGCGCTTCCCGCGTGTGCGTGCGGGGAAGCGGGGAAGCCCGCGCCGGGAGTCCCCGGAGGCGGACCCGGGGCTAGGGGGACCGGGCCCGGGACTCACCGAGCACGTCGGCGGAGCGGTGCCGGGCCACGAAGCACGCGTCGTCCCCGTAGCATGCGCCCTTCTTGAGAAGGCCCTTACGGAAGTCCTTGCCGAAGCCGCAGCCTGCCGTCACCAGCCCGTAGTCACCACCGCTACTGCCGCCGCTGCCGCCGCCTCCGGCCCTGGGGTCGGTCTGCGACAGCCCGCCAAGCACGGCGCGGGCCACCAGCCGCCCGTACGAGAGGACAGAGAACATCGCCGCCGCCGCCCCCCCGAGGAGGCGGGGGGCCGGGGAAGCAGGAGAACGCGGAGGCCCGGAGCCGGTTCTTTCCTCAGCCGCAGCTGCGCCGCCGCCGGGGCGCTCCTCAAGGCGGCGCGCAGTGGCCGCCGCCGCCCCTGCCGTGTGCGAGGCCCCGCGCGTCGGGCAGGACAAGAGCCAGAGCGAGGTCAGAGCCAGCGGGTCCTCCACCTAAGCCCGAGAGGGGTCCCAGCTGCAGCCGCCGCTGCCGCCGCCATCTTCCGCTCCACTAGCGTGTTCCGGGCCGCGCCGGCAGCGCCGCCCCCTCTGGCCACGCCTCCAGTCCCGCCCCCGATTCGCAGTCTAAGCCAAGCCCCGCCCACTCGGGCTCGAGGCACTATGCAATCACTGAAATTGAGCGTGCGCAGGCAATGCGACGTAGTGTCTCCTGGGAGTTGTAGTGCTTGAGTTGTAGTCTCTTTGGTCTTGGATTTAGCTCTCTACACCCAGGACCTATCGAGGATTTACCAGATATGGAACCTGGGTTAAATTACTGAGAATTACAGATGGTCTGCTTGAGAGTTTTCTTTTCTGCTTAGGCATATCCTTTAAAGTCTAATAAAAATAACAGCACTGTCTTTTTTTTTTTTTTTTCTTCTGTACTGGGAATTAAACCCAAGGTCTAACACTGAGCTACCTCTCTAGCCTGGTTGTTTTATTTTTCTTAAATAGGTTTTCACTAAATTGCCCAGGCTGGCCTGAAACTTTCAGTCTTCCTATCTTCTTTAAACAAAAACCTGAAAAAAACCAAACTTGTAGTCAAATATTACTCTGCAGTTATACACATGGAGAAATGGAGACCTAGTGACTCTTCCACACTTAATATGCTGGAATGATTTAGAGTGACAATCTATTTGAAAAGAAGAGACTTTTCCCATAGTCTTTTCGTTAGAATTGAGAAATGTTATACATCCCTATCAGAGTAGAAGGGTGGACACATCCAGCATAAGTGGCAGATGGGTCTGCCAAATGGAAAGTAAATTCCACATCCCAAATTTCTTTGCCTTGGATCTTGATGTTCCTGACAGCTCACCTGGACTAGCAACTCTTCTGGCCTCTGTTTTGGAAGTCAGTAGAGGACATAGAGGACTGAAGACTTGCAAAGATGGAGTCCTTTTCTTTCTCCTGCCACCTTGTCAAGGAGGAAGCCCTTGGCAAGAAAGGAAAGGCAACTAAGTTTTAGATCTCAGATCAGCTCTAACAAAGACTCCACGTAGCTTTCCCTAGACTCTGTTATAAGTAACTTTCATCTGAAGTTATTGAGGCTGAATAATAGCTAAATCTAAAGGGGAGTGTGTAATCTAACAGGAAGACATGCTTGTGTACATGCATGGATGTACAAAAATGGGTTATATACAGTGTCTGTAGAACGGTATGTGATCCTGCTCACCTTTCCTACCCTGTTTGGTGCCACGTTCCTTTTGTTCCCTGGCCTGCGGCAGGTTCACAGCTGCCTCAAAACTTTTGCCCTTGCTCTTCCTTCTGCCCATTAGGATGCTGTTCTGTTATCTGAGAACCCTGCCTTTTCTGTTGCTGTATCCTCAAAACATATGGGTGCACAGTAAATACTTTCTTTCTTCAGTGAGTGAAAGAAAGAATGACTATTTCACTAGAGTCTAAATTTCCCAAAGGCAAGGGTTATTTGCTACTGTGTATTATTAGACTCTAGCGCAATGCCTAGCCCACAGTAGGGGGATTTGTAAATGTTGAGTAAAAGGAATAATTGAATAGGAATATAAATAATAAAAGAAACTAATGTTTATTGACTAATGGAATGACTAAATGAATGGGGTTCACAAACAAGTGAAAACTGAGTTTTGGGGCAAGTAATACAATTTGGAATACTTTTTAGTTTAACTCAAACATAAATATATATCACCCAGGAACATCATTGATCCCTTTCCAGTAACAGGATTGCAGTTACTGTGGGGATTACTATTTGGGTCTTTAAATGATCCTTTTTTTATACTTTCTTAATATATATAAAGTCCTGCCAACCATCCACTCAACGCACACTGTTCTGTTATCCTAATTACTGTCATCATGAAACACTTTTGCTGTTCACAATTTGCCAAGTACTCTGTATGTTTTTGTCCTCAATGGTTTTCGTCAAAATTGAGCTGAACAAATCACATAGTGAGTGGCACTCTGTCAAACATATAGAAAGGCTTCATTTCCTGGATAAAAAGACAGAACAATCCAATAATACAGTTACACCTTGCTCTGTGCATATGCATGTGCATGTGTTGTGTGTGCATATGCGTGTGTGTGTGTGTTTATGGTACAAAAACTGGAAAAAATCCAGAAGAGGGGGTGGAGACTCTCAGAATGCTCTGCTTGGCATTTCCATCGCTGCCAACTGCACTAAAGGTTCTTCTTTCAAATATTCACACCACTGCTAGGTCCCAGCCAGCCTGTCAAGTAACCCTACCCCAAGGACAAGGTTTTTGGTGTTTTTTTTTTTTTTTTTTTTAATAATATGCCAGCCCCTATTCCTGGCCCAGTCAGACTCCTTCAGGCTAAGCCTACCTTTTATTTTCAGGGCATATATCACTCAGTTTCCATGTCAGCTCCAGGAACCGGTTGGATTGGGTGAGTAGGAACATGAGAGGTGGCCATGAGCCCGTCACCTCTGCTCTGATGGGGCTGCTGTTTCTAGCCAGGTGATCCAGGTCCCTTGAGTCTCCAGCACAGAAGACCATTGCAAATCTGTTGCTGCTGAAGCACGTGGCAGACAGAACCCTTTCCTAAGCTTCTTTGCACTTTTTTGGAAAGTGAAGGTGACAGGGCTTCAGGTCCCCTCAAATCACTGACTTCAGACCCTGCTCTGAAGTTTCACCTTGGCTGAGACAGGAGAAAAGAGGGCTTTCAGAAACAATTGCGCCTGCCTGTCCTCTCTGAGGGGTACAATTCCCTTTTGACATTTTGCTGGACTTAAGCAGTCCTGAGTTTTCTTCTTTAACAGAGTTACATTCCTAGCACTTCAGGGATTCCTGGGAGGTCACTTGCCACGCTCAGAAGCCAACAAGTGGTGAAAATACCATCTGTGGCCCCAGGGCACCTCTATGGCATTAGGAAAGAGCTTTCCACCGGACTTATCACACAACCTTAGCTCCTAAGAACAGCAGAAGAAGAGGAGAAAGAGAGAGATCAGAGAGACAAGAGGGACAGACAGAGAATGGCATGCATTTCCGAGGGAGAATTTCCTGCCAGACTGGTATACTGATCTCTTCTGATTTCTTCTTGCTAATCTATTCAAAAGGAGCACTCAGTTTATATGGTGAGGTTTCTCAATGTCCACTCTACTGACATTTTGGGCGATTCTTTGTTGTGGGGGGCTTAGTATCCTTAGATTCTATCCTGCTAGGTGCCAACAGCAGCCCTTCCCTCCTCCCCATTGAGACAGCCAAAACAACCAAACACATCTCCAGATATTGCTAGATAATGCCTTGGGGGCAAAATCACCCTGGTTTAACACCGCTGGGTTATAATAACATCTGGCAAGTGAACAAATATTTGTTGAGCACTTGTTACATTTGAAGCTTGAGGTCAAGGGCAAAAACACAGTTGGGGACTCCATAGTACCCACAGTGTGATGGGTGAGTTAAGATTAAGTAAATGTATGGGGAAAAATACCTTCGGTTGCAATAAAGGAAGCACCAGTACTCAGGAAGGAGAAATGGGCCCACTGGAAATCGAGAACACTCTGGGACACTTCATGCAGAGGTGACATTTGTGAGAGGACTGTGTGGACAGCTGGAGGTGTCCGGAGGGGGTATTATTAGTCCCGAAGGAAAAGCTGGAGTCAGTGAATTCAGAATGTCTGCAGGAACCTAGCCTATGACTAAGTAAATCATTTGCTCCAGAGGAAACCGTGACTAATTAAGCCATATTCTCCAATCAGCCTTAAAAATAAAACTGATGCTAAGCCAGGCGTGGTGGCACACATCTGTGATCCTAGCACCAGAACGCTGAAGCAGGAGGAGTGTCGTGAATTCAAGGCCAGCCTAGACTACATAGTGAGTTCAGGTCCTGCTTGAACTATATAATGAAATCTTGTCTCAAAATACCAAAAATAAGGGGCTGGGGATTTAGCTCAGCGGCATAAGAACCTGCCATGCAATCAGGCAGTCATGAGTTCAATCCCCGGTACCGATAAAAAAGGAAAAGACAAAACAAAGCAAAACAAAACAAAAACCACACCAAAAATAAATAAATAAAGAAAGAAAGAAACAAAAAATCCTGATACTTTGGAACTCTAGTTGCCTGATTCTTTTTCAGTGGGTGCAGAATTTAGAAAGGCAAGAAAGAGTGTAATTAAATATCACCTCATGAAACTCATATTAACTTAAAATTTAAAATTTTCTTTTCGGAAAACTCAGAGTCATGTACAGGACTGACATGGTGGGGGACGGACCATGTGGAGATCAAATTTCTGGTGCGGTCAGGGCTCTGGGCTTAAAGGTACATTGTGGGTCAAGTGGATTCTTGACCTGGGCAGTTCGTGCCTGCTCCAGTTGTTCAGCAGGATTTCAACTGGCAGAGACCCGAGAACACGGCCTCTCAGGTGGCCTTGACCTAACCCGTGTGAGCATGGCTTTGCCCTCAGCAGGCAGCTGGAGCAGGGATTAGATGATTGGGGAGAAAGCCTTTCTGCCCCGAGAAGGCTTACCTTAAAGAGGGCAAAGCTTTACCTGATTGAACACTGGAGCTCTGATGAAGAGAATGTGTTTTGCTCCCTGCGGTCTCTGTCAGCAAAGCTGTGGGTGTCAGTTGACTGGTTTTTTGTGAGTTTTTTTTTTTTAATTTGGTTTTGTGTTTTTTGGCATAGGCCTGGAACATGGCATTGGATTGGGAGAATTCAGGCTCTGACTTTACCTGCAGAATAGGGGTGCAGTTTATTAACGGAAATCAATGAGAAGCCCAGGGCCCTTGGCACACAGCACATGGACTTCGTCACGGGTGCAGGGGGAAAGCTCCTGAAACCCCACAGTTACCCAAGGAGATGGTTCATGGGGCTGATGCCCAGCAGCCCCCCTCCGGAGAAGGCAGATCTGCTCCAAAGCCCAGGAGGAGCTGGGTTGTTCTTATGCTCCTCCTGTCCTGCTCCCAGGACAAAATCAGCATGAGAGAGAAAGACAAATAAAGGAGGCCGGCTGGCTAAACTGGAGGAAGGCAGATATTTGTAAGCGACAAGGAAATGAAGGCTCAGCTAGGTAGATATTAAGAAGAGGAAGAAAAAATTCACAAACAGGGAAACCTCAGA